CAATACAAATAATTGAAACTTTTTTCTTCCTATTGGAAAATGCCATTTGGCTGAAGCTGAAAGTGTCTGGAAATGAGCTGGTAGCCAGGTGACTTCTTTTATCAGATCCAAAGAAATCAACCTCTATGGGCCGGGCTCCACAATCAAACTACATCTCCCAGGATGCCTCATAGCCTGGGAATCCCATGATGCACTGGCTTCTCCTTATCTAGTGGTGCCTGGTGAGTCATGGGATGTGTATCTGACATTACTGGAAAAAAGCCATTTTGATTTTTCAAAAATAGTTTTATACACATGATTTTTTTTCTTAAAAGAATTAGCGTCCTATTCGAAATGGCGCTCTGCTCTGTATGTTTTTACAAAAGCTTTGCATGTAAAGACATTTGACGTCACGGAGAAGCAGATTTTTCTCCCCCAAAAACATTCCAGTTTGTGGGAAATTTCAAAATTCTTCCCTTCTGTCCTGACGCGGGATGAAAACCCCTTGTGAAATCAGGGCTGCCGGCCGGCCCCACAAGCAATGGAAGCTCATCAGCGACGAGGCCTGTCTATGTTAATCCCCTTTCGCAACCAGTGGAACCGATTTAGGTACTTGCTGGAACTCTGCACTTCCTGAGAAGCAACTTCTCTTATGCCATGTCTAAGACTCTTATAGAATCAGAGAATCATAGAACTGGAAGAGACCTCAGAAGGTCATCAAGTCCAGCCCCCTGGTCTAGGCAGGACCAATCCCAAATAATTCAACCCAGCCAGGGCTTTGTCAAGCTTAGACGTAAACACCTCTAGGGATGGAGACTCCACTACTTCCCTAGGTAACCCATTCCAGTGCTTCACCACCCTTCTAGTGAAATAGTTTTTCCAAATATCTAACCTGAAACTCTCCCACCACAACTTGAGACCATTGCTCCTTGTTCTGCCATCTCTCACTAGTGAGAACAGCCTCTCTCCATCCTCTTTGGAACCTCCCTTCAGGAAGTTGAAGGCTGCTGTCAAATCCCCCCTCACTCTTCGCTTCTGCAGACTAAACAGACCCAACTCCCTCAGCCTCTCCTCATAAGTCATATGCTCCAGCCCTCTAATCATTTTGGTTGCCCTCTGCTGGACCCTCTCCAATGCGTCCACATCCTTTTTGTAGTGGGGGGCCCAGAACTGGACACAATACTCCAGATGTGGCCTCCGCAGAGCTGAATAAAGGGGAATAATGACATCTCTGGATCTGCTGGCAATGCTCCTCTTAATGCACCTAATATGCCATTAGCCTTCTTCGCTACAAGGGCCCCCTGTTGACTCATATCCAGCTTCTCATCCACTGTAACCCCCATGTCCTTTTCTGCAGAACTACTCCTTAAGTGGTTGGTTCCCAGCTTGTAACTATGCTTGGGATTCTTCCGTCCCAAGTGCAAGACTCTGCACTTGTCCTTGTTGAACCTCATCAGATTTCTAGTGGCCCAATCCTCCAATTTGTCTAAGTCACTCTGGACCCTGTAGGGCCTGTGGCGAAACTGCAGAACCCTTCCCCACCTCCCAACGGTGGCTTCTCGCCAGGCTCTTCCCTACCTGCTGCAGCCCCGGCGACCAGCACGGCGAGGATCAGGAGCTGCATGCTGGCCGTGGCGATGGGAACAGTCGGCGACGTCGCTGGTTTACTGCAGGGAGAGAGCGACAGGGAATCGTTGGCCGGGGGTGTCTTGAGGAGGACGGGTGACACACAGGTAAGGGGCTTGCTAAGGAGTCAGGCATGAGCAAGCTGTTTCCCTGCCCCGCAGCTACCCTGCCTGTACCGTAGGGCGATAGCAGAGCCCCTCATGGATAAACACGCTGGGATCGTGTGGTGTCAAGGGGGGGCCAGTCTCCCCCAACTCAGCTCCATCCTCCTCTTCCACCCAGAGGCGTCCCCAGGGGCACGTTCCATGGAACCATCTGATCTGTTGTGGGGGGAGGGATGAAATCTTAAGCCAGCCGGCAAAGATCTCCATGAGCTGGCCTGAGCCCACCCCTCTCGTCCTAGTTCCCCTTCTCATGCGTTGCCGCAGTAACAGAGCCCCCACTTCCCCCAGCAGCTCTACAACACAGAAATGAATAGCTCTCCGATGCCGGGTGGCTTCCATCACGGCAGCACCCCAGGTCAGGTGCTGTGCTTATCCCACAACCGTTTGTGAGGCTGGGCAGGGCTACGGTCCCCATTGCAGTGCTGGGGAAACCGAGCCACGGAGCAGCTAAGTGACTGGGCTGGTCAGCTGAGCCGCTAAACTGCCAAACCGTCCGTCCTTCCTGAGCACCTCATTGCACCCCACCCCCAATAACAGCAGTCCCCCGAAAACTGGGTGATGCTCTGGCAGCCCGAAATCACCCCCGTAGCAGCGAGATGCCTCCCCATGATCTTCCCAGTAACAGTGGGATATCCTGGACCTCCTCTCTGCACCACTCCCGAAGCCGCAGGAACCTCCTGTGCACCCATCAACATGCCCCCGCCGCCAGCCACATATGCTGACGATGGGGGCCGGACTGGCCCCGCTTTACCTGTAGCTCCTGGCAGAGCCCTCGGGAGCAGACGAGTCCCCAGCGGTTGTGACTTGGAAAAAGCTGAGAAGCCTCCGGAATGGGCCACTTTATATCCCTAGAAACGGGCCGTCCCTGTGAGTCACTGTCATGACTGGATGTAAGCAGATGATCAATATTTTAGCCCCTAAGAGCCTCCCTCCACCCCGAGACACCTGGCTGCTATCGGCTGGGGGGGGGGGGTGGGGGAGGGAACTAGCCTTTACTCTGTTGGGAATCCGGCAGGAAGCCCTTGGAACGGCACCTTCTCGGAACTGCAGTGGCCAAACCTGCCTCCCTGCACCTCCCGCCCTGCTCCGGAATGTGTCTTTCCTCCTCTCTTCCTGGTGTCCTGACCTGGCCCGACTGTGGGTGCCCTCAACTGCGGGTAACCAGGCCCTGCTTCCTGATATTAGGCGCTGGGTTTACCCTGGGGCTGCCTCGGACTCTGACTTCCGGGATGGCGGCCCAGTCGCATTCCCGAGGGCTAGGTCAGACAGCCCATAACCCACACCTGACCCCCTCTCTTTGTGGGGGGCAGCGAGGGGCCTAGCCCCGTGTTTCTCAACCAGTGATACGAGTACCCTTAGGGGTACTCGAGAGAAGTCTAGGGGGGAGGGGCTGAAGGCACGTCGGGGACCCCCTGACTCCGCACCTCCATCTGCAGCCAGATGTAACTCCATGGCTGTGTCTACACTGGGCCACTTATTCCGGAAAATCAGCTGCTTTTCCGGAATAAACTGCGAGCTGTCTACACTAGCCCTTGAATTTCTGGAAAAGCAACGATGCTGTACTGCACAAAAACAGCCGCTATTCCGGAAAAACTATTCTGCTCCCGCTCGGGCATAAGTCCTTATTCCTGAACACTGTTCTGGAAAAGGGCCAGTGTAGACAGCCCAGTAGTCTTTTCCGGAAAAAAGCCCCGATCGCGAAAATGGCGATCGGAGCTCTTTTCCGGAATAGCGCGTCTACATTGGCCACAGACGCTTTTCCGGGAAAAGGGCTTTTCCAGAAAAGCAGCCTGCCAATGTAGACGCTCCTTTCATTTTAATTATTGGCAGGAAAGTTCTAATTAAAGAATGACCTCATTAAGTTGGATAGTGAAGTGTGTGTTCAGTAACCAAAAGTACCAATATATATACTGTACTGTCAAAAGGAAAGTGTGTGTGTGTGCGCGCACGCACGGGCACGCACACATGCTGGATCCTATTGTGTGTGTTTGACAACAGTAAAATGCAGGACAATGTAGCAGTTTTGAAAAAGGGGTACTTTATATAAAAAGGTTGAGAAACACTGGTCTGGAGGGTGTTACTAATGAGTTATCCTCAGATGATTTTTTGTGGTAATAACATAATACTACCACTACAGGCTGAGTCTAGATACAGCTTTTCGGAGCACTACAGTTTCCGAATTGTGGACCTGCCTCTGGCCAAAGGCAAAAATGATCCTCTGGCAGCAGCCACAGAATTTGGACACGGACATGAGTCTGGAAGAGACCTGGGCACTTCCTGTTTCAGCGCGGAGACAGTGGTGTTGTAAGTTCCCTAAAAGTAGGGGGAAGACATCCATGCCCCGCCCTGGCACCGCTCCTGGCCCTGGTACATCTGCCCCTCACCACCTCTTCTCACCGTGGTTCCCCCACATGACACCCCATGCTCCTGAGACTCTGTGAAGTCCCCCCCCACCACACCACACCTTTCTACTACTGCCCTGAAGACCCCACTCCCTACACCTTCTCCTGAAGCCCCACTCTCATGCCACCACTGCCCCCAGATACTGCTGCACGACCCGCTGCCCCCCAGTGTTCCAGGGCGCATGTGAGGAGATTATTGTGTATTGGGGATGTAGATATAGATCTTGTTGTTATAATACCTGAGTTAGGTCACTAAGGGTCAGTCCAGCCGGGTTGGGCTGGTTCTAGTTAATTCTTTGTTATGAAAAAAATGGACATTTGCAACTGCTCAGGCTCTCTGTGTCTCCAGTGATTCTTCCTCAATTGTGGAACTCCACAAGATATAACAAAGCGGCGAGGAGGGTGGGATACCTGTGCTGCCTCTAGCAACAGAAGAAGTAGAAGTCAATATAAGAAAACAAACCTTTTGCTGTTCTGGAAGGTGGGGGTGAGAACCGACAGCAACACAGTCTGTCGACACTATAGAGTTTTGGCAAAAAGCGGCCTGTGGTCTGGCGGGAAAAAAAAGGAAGATCTGCCTCCCATCGAACAGACTCCGGATGACCAAGGTGACACCCCGTCTGTGTGAGAAGGGCCCCGCTATGTTTTGTCTTTAGCCGGGGGCTCCCGTGAATACGGGGTAACCCCATTGTTGGGCGGCAAAACTGTACGCATGGAAGTGGACACCAGTGCAGCAGCTTCGTTGGTGTCAGACACAATGGATAAGGAAAAGCTAAAGCACCTTCTGCTTAAGGCAACAAAGATTGTTCTGAAGACGTATACAGGAGAAGCGGTACCCCTACAGAGCACTACTGATGTGAAGGTGGAGCTCAATGGACAGACGGCTGAATTGCCACTGTTTGTGGGGAAAGGCCATTACCCAGCCTTCATGGGGAGATGGTGGAGTAGGACGATCCCGCTGACGTGCACCGGATGACTAAAGCAGAAGCGGGTCTGACCAATGTATGAAAGAAACATGCTGCTGGTTTTGGAGAGGATCGGGGAAGTACGAGGGGAATCATTGTGAAGCTGAACATTAAACCTGGCAGCCAGCCAAAATATCTGAAGGCCAGAAGGATGCCATATGCCATTAGGCCAAAAGTTGAAGCTTCCCTGGAGCACGTACACACCAATGGAATCCTAATACCAGCTACCCATAGTCTATGGGCAACTCCAAGACTATGTCTACACTGGCGGGTTCTTGCGCCAGAAATATGCAAATAAGGCTAAGCATGGAATATCGCGGAGCCTCATTTGCATATCTAATGAGCTGCCATTTTTGTGGAAGAAGCTCTTGTGCCAGAAGGCGCGTCCACACTGCCCCTTGCGCAAGAAAAACCCTCTTGCGCAATGCCGCTACGCTGATTATTTTCAGGAAGAACAGCATTGTGCAAGAGGGGTTTTCTTGCGCAAGGGGCAGTGTGGACGCGCCTTCTGGCACAAGAGCTTCTTCCACAAAAATGGCAGCTCCTTAGATATGCAAATGAGGCTCAGCGATATTCCACGCTTAGCCTTATTTGCATATTTCTGGGGCAAGAACCCGCCAGTGTAGATGTAGCCCAATTGTTCTAATTTTGAAGAAAGATGGTTCCATTCAGATTTGCAGAGATGTTAAGGTCACTGTTAACCCAGTGTTGTGTGCAGAGTAATGCCCCCTTCCCTGCGTCGATGACGTCTTTGCGGACCAGGCTGGGATACAAAAGTTCGGTAAGATCGATCTGAGTCAAGCATATTTACAGATGCACATTGAGGAGAAGTCCCAAGAGCTGTTGACTATTGTGATACATAAAAAGGATGAAGGTCCCGTCCAGTTCTCTGAGATAGGTACAACTCCATATAGAAATGTGTCCTTACCATTAGCCTGTACACAGGCCCAGGAAATAAGCCAGAAATTGCTCATTCAAATCATTGGAAAGGTCTACAAGGAAATTTGCCTTTGGAAATAAGGAATCTGTTGAGGGAAAGCATTACAGACAGGGAGAGACAATTAATGGCAGGGTGGAAGTTGGCAAATTTTACCCTACACAAAGATGGAGCGGTTCTCCAAGCATATGAAATCACTGTATACACCAACGTAACTGGTAGAATCTATCCAGTGGTGTCTATGGTTAGCCAGCTCATGAAAAATGTAATTATTTATTCCACCGATCGCCATTCCTGGACATATTAAGAAAACCAACATTTAATATGGAAAATCACTGCCGCCTTTCATTCAGCGTGTGGCCCGTGAAAATTTGGGATGTGTGTGGATCAATATTTATCAGAAAGGGACAAATGTTTCTATGTAAAAGACTGTCATGATCATGAGAGATGGCCAGCAGCCTGGGGAATAAGGAGTTAACTATACCTAAGCCAGGTAGAGTCGGCCAATAGGAATGTTGGTAAGACAAAATAATTTTTTTGTTTTTTCCCTCCTTTCTCCCTGGGCAGTTTCTCTCCAGCTACTGAGGGGGACAGACATCATGTCAGTCTCCAAGAAAAGACTCTTCACTATCTGTAAGTAGGGTAAAGTTTAGATAAATCCATTAGGTTTTATTGTTTTATGGTTTGGGAATGGGATTCTGATGTCTATACATTTAAAAAATGGGTTTTCCTCTTTTTTGCAACTAAGGTCGTGGCCCATGGGGGGGGATCCCCTCCATGAGTATATTAATTTGTGACTTTTCCATCTAGTCATTATGCTTGCAACAGGAATATTGTGGTGATAAGAAAAGTTCTTTCTCTTTTCTTTTTATTAACTTGGTATTGGTTAATTTTTGTGTCCTGGGATGTTACTTTTGGGGGCTGAGATTTCCCAAGGTTTCTTTATTATTACTTGGGTGGTGGCAACAGATGTTTTATCCCCAAAATCTAGGGTGTTAAGATTTTGGTGGGAAGCTTTATACTAAAGTCTGGAAAGATAAGGTTCTGGTGTACTTTTGCAGGCCCCCACTTCTCCATTTATCATGGAGAGTGGGGAAAAAGCTTTGACATGGTGGCACAGTGGTGGGAGTATTTTGAGAACCCAGGATGTTTAAAAGGACACAGGGTTTGAGTTGCAAGCTTTGCAGTTTTTTTCTCTTGCTTTTTTTTCGTTTCTTTTGTTTTCTGTGCTGCCTTGGGGAGAGGCAGACAGAAGGTGAAGCTTAAGCCAGACACAGACCATCCTACCCAAACGGTTTATTTTGTTATAGCTTTTGGGATGACTGGATAGCTAGGCTAGTTAAGGCATGATGTCCAGCTCTAGGGCAGATTCATACCCCCAAGGAGAGGGTAGGAGCAAGGTGTAGCAGCCCTCCTCTCCCCTCACCAATGCCTTCTATGCGGGCCTACATATAGAGGCTGAGGAGAAGCGCACCCAACAAGAACATCTGGCGAGCATAGGGGTGTGCACAGGGTGAGCCGGGTATGCCTCGGTA